CCCATTTTAATGCAACACTTATATCGTATTTACTAACCCTAACTCTATCCCTAACCCTTGTAAACTAACCTCTTACCCTAAGTTGCAAATGAAATAAAGTGTGCATATTAAAGAAAAATACTGAGGATAATAAAATGTGCAGTGATTTGAAACAGAACAGCTCATTCTGCACCAAAAAAAAACCCCAGAGAGACAATTTGGAAGAAAGGGACTCTGTATCCCAATATAAATGGTGCTGTGACTCATTTATGATGAAAAAGGAAGTAAACTAACTACCTAACTTTCAGAAAAAAACCTTTTAGAACTTCTGCTTTCACTCAGAGCCAAGAATGTCTGTTCACTAGTAACTAGTTGTCTGTACCCTCAGTTATATCTTAGGCTTACTTATAAAGTTTTCCATCATTTTTAAAGGTGTGAATTGTTAAAATAAAACAAAACTACTTATCTGTTTTTTCAGTCATACTCATTCATCATCCATATTCTCTCACTAATGCCAAATACATGTATTCTTTAAAAGGTTTTAATTGTGTTCAAAAAGAACATGTGAAAGAGTCTGTATCAATAATTTCTTTTCAGAGCAGCCAGAGGAAAAAACAGAAGTAAAAGAAGGAGCTACGGTAGATGTCCAGGATTCACAAATGGATCAACTAAATGTTAACCACAAACAATAACAACGTTGTTTAAGTTATTCAGTGTGTATGTGTGTGGGGGGAGTCTGTACTTTACCTGGGTTAATACACAAGAACAGTCCCAGAGTCATTCTTCCTACACTTTAGAACCCATATAAACGGGACACGGAAATCTGTGCCAGACAAAGATCTTTCTCTCCCCACATCACAATAACCATGGAAATGAGACCTATCTACACTGGGGACCTTGTCCCCTCACTTCAAGGGTATTCTCGGATTGGGTCCCAAGATGGAGAAGAGGGAGGTAAATTTTGGGCATTGTTAACCACCTCTTAAATTCACAGAGTCCTTTTTGTTATAGTTCCTGTAGTTTTAAATTAAGACTAAAACTGAAGATGTAATTTTATCTTTGTCGGATGAATTCAGGACCATTTGTATACTGTTTGTGTACATTTGTGTACTTTATCTACAGAGATCAAAATCTGTCTTTAATCAACTTTCCATTTTTTAAGTGCAGTATATAATGGCGCTTGATTTGCCACCAAATATCTTTAACCTCATACGATATCTTCCTTTAGTTCCTTAGTAGATGTATGTGTACAGTACATACTCTGAGAGCCCATAAAAATGCCATGATATTCTCTAGAGGGATATCACTCAACAAATCCTCAAGTCACTTTTGTGACTGAAATAAAAATAAACCCTTGAGGAATTTTATTGCATGGGAAAAGATTCTCTCGATATGATTTCTGAATTGGTGGCAGGTGAACAATAAATAATGTAATTTTTGGAATGTCTGATCTGTGGAACACCTTTTGATGACAGCATGTCCATAGGCATTTATCAGCCCTATAAAACAGAACTACTAGATCTGTGAGATCAGTGAGGTGTCACAACTGATTGCCGAGAAGGACATCAGCACCTCAGGATGGTGAATGCTGGCATTTTTTAGAAGTTGGTTTCATGATGGTATAATACTCCCCTAACTCTTATTTCTCATGTTTCAGACCTAGTTAGTTTAACTGGTAGAGTTTGTGATTGTCCTCATTCAGTATCTTTGCGATCAGTTTCTATTATCCAAAATAGGTGCATCAGGCTTTATTTGAGCTAAGTCTTTACTTACTGACTTGGATGGCAATGCTGGGCAACGTAGAGGTAATTTTGGTCACAAAAGATTGGAAGGTGTCATTTTCTCTGATTAATGGGAGTTTTGCTGATGGCTGGCTCTATGTCTTTTGATATCAGGAGGATGATTTGTACAATTTGAATGCTTCAAGCTCAATAGTGCCTTACAGTAGAATACGATCTGATTACAGGAGCTGTGTATCTGTCACAGCAGATACCAGGTGGTGATGTTATACAGAAAAACAAGAGAACTCTGCCTGACTAAAGCCAACCCAGGCCCGGCAGTGGTTAGTCTGTTTCCACTTGAAAAATTCAAGAGGACTTCACTGATTTAACCTTTCAGGAGCCCCTTTTATGTCTTAATTAGAGGATGGAGAAAACAGTCAAAATTAAACACATTTTTACAGCATTTATTTTAAAAGGGCTTAGTAACATATCTTTATGAAACACCCTAAAGCTGTGGACTTCTCCACCATATACCAAAACCTTACTATTGAATTATAATTTTTCCGCAACAATGTGTGAAATATGTACCTGTTTCTTAACTTCTAATTCATCAGTTGATTTCTACAGACAGTATATAGTTTTAATGTTGTTGCCAGACTCTTCAGGGGACTTTCTTGTTGAATGTTTTGTTCTCAGTTCCAGGAAGGAGTGCCGAATGTGCATTAGGTTCCTATCAACGAATTTTATTCTTTGTGACGACAGTGTGCTGTCTGCTAGTAGCTACCAATATAGTGCTGGGTGATTTCTGTGAGTACAATACAAAATTTTAAAAAATCATACACATACTCTAGATATGATTGTAAACCACTCTGTCCAAGGTTTTTCAAGTTTGAACACTGTATTTTGTTCTCCTTTTTTTTGTAGATAAAAGAACGTCATTAGAAAAGGACGAATCTCTGAAGAATCAGTCTCAGCTACAACAAGACAAATGGAACCTTTCAGATACCAACAAAAAACTGTGGAGTCAAAACAAGGAATTGTCTGACTCTAGTATCAAGCTGAGCAGTGTGAACAGAAACCTGTCTGACTTCAATTCCCAGTTACAGAACACAACTAAGAACTTGTCTGACTATAACAAGATTTTGCAAAGTCAGATAAAAAATGTGTCTGCTTTAAACGTAGAGCTAGAGTCTGAGAATAGGAATTTGACAGACTCCATGAAACACTTGATGGAACAAAATGCTAACCTCAGTGTTTCTAATAGAGATTTAAAGAATGGCAATAGTTACTTATCTGACACTATCAGTGACCTTGGAAGTAAAATCATGGAGAAGGAATATCTTATTGATTTATTGCAAAGCCAGAACTCAAACTTGTCTGATATTATTGCAGAATTGAAGAATGACAATCACAAGCTTGTTAAAGCACTAGACAAAGCAAAGTCTGAAAACCAAACACTGCTGCACCATCAGGGAGAGTTAGAAAAGCAGCTGTACGACTTGACAGAAGAAAATACAAGAATCAAGGTTGAAATGCTGGAATTAAAAATGAGCAATTTCTAGCTCTCTGCAAAATACTCTGCACTGCATGAACACTGTCACTCCACACATGGTAAGGACACATTTAAAAAATATTCCAATAAAAGGTCCTGGGCAGGAATGCAGCTGTACAGTACCTTGCGTTCCCAGGAGTGTCTCCAGGGTTCTGCAATTCTTACCAGGAATAAGCAGCTTTCCCACAATGAATTGGTGGAGGGATCCAATTTCTTTATTGCATTTTAAGTATCTCATGAAAAAGACATAATCTTCAGCAACAACTGAGGAGCTGTGGTAGCTCAGACGACAAGGGCATCTAGCTCCAGAGTGGAAGGACCTGGGTTCAATCCCAGGTAGGGGCAAGTGATGCAGCTCTAATTCCTTCCAGACAGCTCCCAGGTCACCAACTCAGCCTGCTCTCCAAATGAGTACCAGGGGTAACAGGCTGGCTGGAGAGTGATGCTGACCACATCACTTCCAGTGTTGGATAATCAAGTCGAATGGTGGCCCATGCCTCCCACTCCCCCATGGGCCTTTATGGCCTGGAAAGGGACCTACAACTGAGATTTGGTTATTACCTATGTGGTGTAATAGTTTATTGTAATTCTTAGGTAAGACCACTAAATATCACACAGAAACATATTTTGTAGAGTTGCTTTTTAGTTTTTGTTTTCTGATCAGAAAGGTGTAATGGGAGAGAAAAATTAACAGCTGGATTTCAGTTATCTTGTGTAGCTGTTCAAGACAGTGTTGAATAAGACTGTCTTGTAATAATCAATAAGCCTCTAGTCTCAAGAGAGGAAGACAAGTTTATGGTACTGAACCTAACTCCTTAGTCTCTAACAGGACAGATTTGTTTACATCTTTGTGGACATAGTAAACAAAGTTTACAAAGATCTGCATGCATGAAGAACAGCTGCCAAAAAATTTAAAAGAAATACATAATCCTGTAAAAATAAGGTAATTTAACCCATGAGACTAACTTATCTTTATGAGTGTGTTAAGACATTGGCAATATTTTGTCTTACTGAGATATTGGATGCACAAGATGTAATATATTCTCTTTTGCTTACTTCACTCATGGTGTTTTTTTTTTAATACCTCTTAGTCCTTAGGAAAATATGGTGAAGTTACAGACTGATGTCTGCAGCACTGTTTCAGCAGTTTGTGTCAGGGGATTTAGTTGTTTTATGCTCATCTGTATTCGAGTCACAGACCCCACTGTTCTCATGCATTCTTTCAGGGCATCATAGCTCCTCAAGACACAGACATCACGGACATCATGGTGAGTAAATTAAATACAGTACAGCTTTATTTTCTCTTTAAGATTTGATATCTAAGAAAGGGTAGTATGAAAAGCACAAAAATACAAACTCAGAGATGGAAACCTTATGGGTTTTACATCCAACCTGTCATACACATTAAGCAGCAGTTTAAAAACATAGTGTTTACTATATAATATCTAATAATACTATATAATAGCAGTGTCATTCCTCTTCATATAGGAAATTGTGCATTGTACTGAATAAATACATGCCACTGTCCTAAAGTAAAGTGCACAAGTAATATACCAACTGTATCATCTAGTTAGATTTTGCGATTCACACTTTTAACCCAACAATTCTACGTGAAAATGGGAGATAAAGGAAAGCATAAAAGTATCAGTTGTCATGAATTCCTACGGGCTGAAAGCTGTACAGTAGCTCTCAAAAGTACTGCAAGGTGTAACTGTTCGTTCAGCCACACAGCCCTTGTGCTGATAACATTGTTTTTTCACTAGACCTGACGGGAAGGGCTTTCTACTTCCCTACGGCCTCTGATCCTCTCTATGTCAGACTGATCCCAGAGAGGCATGAAGCTCTCACAGAAACCACAGTTTGTTTGAGATACAGCTCTGACCAGAATAAGAACATGTTCCTGTTTTCCATTTCCACGCCCCATGAAGACAACGTACTTACTCTCTACAAGGTTCATCAAGGAGAATACGCCATGTCTTTAAATAATGAGCAAACAACATTTAAAGTCAACGATACTGCCCCGCCATCAGGCTGGACACATATTTGCGTGACCTGGGAGTCAGCTACTGGATCTGTTCGGCTATTTGTAAATGGGATGCACAGCAGGTACCAAAAGGGAAGCTTGCAAGAGATCAGTCATGGAATGCAATCCATTTACCTTGGCCAAGACCCAGCCTCTAGCAGTGGAAAGAAGGGCAGCCATTACTCTTTCAGTGGCCAGATAACAGAGGTGTATGTGGGAGATACTGTACTTTCTGACTGCGAGATAAGTGCATTGAATGCTGGATTAGATGCTCCCTTCGACAGTCTTTTAAGCTGGAAATCACTGCAATACGAGAAACATGACAAAATCCTCCTCAAACATGTGAAAGGTATCTGCTTGTAGTTTCCCTGACATTAGATGCAGCAGGTAAAGTAAGATTTTATCTTTAATATTTTTTTGCTTTGCACCATTTCAGCAGTTGTAGACAGGTTTTTGACAAAAGAAATTAGATAAGATTTTAAGCAGGGTGCCACTATGAAAGCCACCAGTGCCTGTGAAATGCGTCATTAGCTTAAACACAAGCATGCAACCTGTGCATCATTAACTGACAGAGAAATTGCACAGGGATCAAAGGAATGTTTCTCAACATGAACCATAAAGGGTCCGTGTACCACCACCATGTTATTTCCTTATACCAATCACACAGATAGAAAACTATTCCAGAGACAGTATGTAAATTGGAAAGGAACTGAATGTTTGCTGTATCAGCCTTTATACAAACAGCTATTTTAATAATTTACACCAATCACACGAAGCAACGAGATCTAAAGAGCAAGGAGAGACATGCGTTAGATAATAATTCCAACATGTCTGGGGATTTTCCCTTTAATATGACAATGCTCCAGTGAAGATTGTAAAACATAACCAGACTATTATTAAAACAGTGTACTTGTTTACTTTGGAATGTTAAACTATTGTCTTTTTGATGACTGTAGAAATATGAAAATATATATTGTGAAAGTCCCTTTTGCAAAAAAGAAGACTCTAATGAAAAAGCCACCCAGCATTGTAATTCTGGGGTTGCTGTTATTGAGAGGTATACATTGATTTTTGTGCTAAATGCAATAAAGCGTACAGATACTGAACAAATGTGCTGTTTGTGTTTGAAAAGAAAATTTAAAGTTTTCCTAAATTCTTGAAATAGATGAAATCACATACTCTCAATTAGTGAAAATAAGTATAGAAAGATTCTAATTTCTAAAACATTTGGAAGAACAGAACATAATGATAAAAGAGATACAGACATGCTCCTTAATATTGAAAAATGTTTTTTTATAAAGTGTCGTTTATAGGATGTATGGCAATTTATTAACCATTGTACTGGACCTCAGTTCAGGTGACAAATTAAAAGCAGAGATTACGTTGATCTTCAAATTTAATTCTAGCATCAGTGTTGGTGCTTTTAATCTGTGTCTTCAGGTGTACAAACTGAGTGACTCATCAATGTTAGAGAGACTTCCAGTGATGGACTAGGTTAACTGCAGCCTAAAGTTTGTCTTTTCAGTCCCCTTCTATTGGTTGAGAGACAATTGTAACAAACTACGCTCTTGCTTTTTCATTCCTGGTTTCCGAAAGCTGTCTTCACCTTAAAAACAGTTGTTTTTTTCCATATTACCCATCCTCTCATTATGATCTACTGCAATGTTTCTGCCCTTTCCCTTTGTTATATACTAGGACATTAAAAGTACCAGAAAATGTAACAAAAGAAAGACAAACTAGTTTAACACCCATCATCACTGGAAAGTCCCAGACTTACCACAGAATGTGAATCAGCAGGTTGGACAGAAAACATCCTAAATTTGGTCCCAATGTTTGTGTCCTATCCTCTGGGATTCTGAGCCATCTCTTGATCCCGCGATAAAATGGCATAAAATAAAGATGATAAAATGGCAGAGTAGGGCTTAGATCATAAAACATAACAGGCATCCTGGTGTAAAATATGTTCTAGTATGAAGTAGTTAGTATTCAACTCCATCAAACTTCATTTTATTAGTTTATAGTATCAGCAAAATGAGAATTATTTTACATGACCTAATTTTTTATTTAATTTATCTGAATGGAGCAGGAGACGTATTTGTTTTTAAGTCCCTAGGTTACACTTCAATGTGTAGGAATGAAGGCACGGCATGTACAGTATAAGTGTAACGAATGTGTGCATACACAAGCCAATTCATTCAGTGAAGGTTTTACACAATTCCATTAGTCACATGAAGAGGAACTTAAAAGCACACAGTCACTCAGCTGTTAGTCAGGGTCCCATACAGTTACACCTCCCACAAGTTCAGATTAACCACCACCAATGTATCTTCCTCATGCCACTGATGTAAGAGTTACTTTTCCAGTAAGGAAACAAGGAAATGAAAAGTGCAGATCTCAAGATCGAGCTTTCAGCTCAGATGCACTTACCTTTCTAGGCTGGCTGAATTGTTTTAGAAGGCTCCATCGACATGCAGAAAATTCAGACAGGATCTGCCATTCTGGTTTTTACTACTGTGTGGCTCTCCAGAGCTGATGTTGGAGACTTTGGGCCTTGCACAAGCTTCTTTTATAATGAATGCCCACCCAAAGGCCTGGAAGGAGCAAAGATCTGCCAGCGTTACATGAATAAGTACCATTTTGCCAGCCTTTATGACAGACATCGCCGTATACCTTTGTACTCTGCCTACCTCTTTATCCCAGCATCTGGAAAGAGACCCAAGACGCACTGGAAGTTTGAGCCCCAGGTAAGTTTGTCTTAAGTATAAGCTTCATCTCACAATTTCATATGAAGCTAACACAGCTGTACCATTTCATCATGATGTTATTCTGCTTATGCATGACAGATATTGATGAATTTATGCATTACCTGATTGTGTATTGAAATAAAAGATGTTTCTTGTCTAATCGTTGCTCCAGCACTCAACGCAGAGTGATCAGGAACATCAGTTGTTACCACAGTTGAATATCTTGGTTGTACCACAAATGAACGTACAGTAGATGTAGAGATGTGTTAAAGGAGTGATAGTTTGTGAAAAATAAATTCTAATCCTTTGGCTGTTGATTCTTGGATGTAGAAGAACATTAAGTTACAAACTAGACAAGGGGGCTACTCATCCTTTCTAACCCAATTGATAGTATTTAATTGATCCAAAGATGTCACACAAAGATGTCCTGTTAGCCAGTGTATCAGCCTTAACAACATGGTTGGATAGTCCCACATTGCTTTTTCTTTGTTGTTCACAATATTTCAAGCTGTAATTTTAGCATATGAATTCTCAGATGTATGCTGACTGAGTTTTTTGTTACTCATTAGAAAATATAACTGTGGATAATAACAGAAATTCTGCATTCTTATAAAATACCTTAAAATTGTGTTGAAAATGCCAGAGCCAAGAAAATAATTATGAGCACAACATTGCTCAATTAATATGTGTCTCCACAAACCACAAGGATCACAGTGTTAATGTTTAGTTTTCCTGGAGTTAGGTCATGCACAACAAATGTGAATGTGAATTTTGTTTTACTGCATATACTGTACAGTAACTCACACGCCATAGCTCACAGCAAGTCAGATAGTTTACTCGCTATGTTTTGCTTAGGCCAACAGGACTACGGTAGTGCACGTTCAACAGGGAAGTTCAAGAAGAAAGAAGAAGATTATAAACCACACTCATACATTTTCGTGTCAGTTAGTTCCCCTTAATTTTTATTGTTATTGCAAAAAGCACTTCCCAGAAATAAAGCTTTTCACAGCCACTAAAACCCTCTGGTTTTCACCTATCTCCCATGACAGTGGAACATACATATCTTTACACAAAAACACATGAAGCAATTTCACAATAAATCTGTAGAATTCTAGTAAATCGGAGGAAGAGAGCTATATCTTGGATGTTTGTAATTTCTTGATACATTATTTTTTTCTCTCACCTAGCTTGCTTACACAAAGGCAGATGGAAACATGATGCCCTTCCCATCCGGTCCGATCGATCAAAACGTGGTGGAAAGTCAAACCGTTGAGACAGACTACACTAACTCCAGCTACACCCGAGGTCACCTGAACCCCAGCCTCCACCACAGTGATCCCACTGAGAAATGCTCCACCTTCACCCTCACCAACATTGTGCCACAGAAGGAAGAGTCGAATGATGGACCTTGGGCTGCGCTGGAGATGGATGTCAACAAAAGGCTCACCAGCTACTGTGAAAAGGAAGCCTACATAGTGACAGGGGCCATCCCCTATAGGAAAGACAGATGGATAAAGAAAGACAGAGTGGCTGTGCCTGAATATCTATGGTCAGCTTACTGTTGCCCCAGCTACCGGAAGAACATCTCCACCACCTTTACTCAAGAGTTTCCCACTTTTGCTGCTATTGGTCGCAATGACCCCAGCAGCACAGAAGAGATTGTGCCCATAGACAAAAGCAAGCCAAAAAGAATCAGAGGTTATGACGTGAGGCTCATGCCCCTGAAGACACTGGAAATGTTCCTCCAAGACAGATTTGGCAGAGCTATCAGCGTGTTCTACAACTGGTGCTCTCCCTGAAGCTTTTCCCAAGCCTCTAAAACACTGGTTTTCACAGCAAGATAATGGTCCAATTATTCAAGATAATTATTATGGGATTTTTTTATGGGTAGTTGGAACATAGGCCTTTGGTATTTGAAAATGTGTACATATCGTAACTTGTATGTTTATATTGTGTGTAGTTTAGTATGTCTATTGTCATTTTTAATAAATATTTTAACCAAGTGTGCCTGACTTTTTACTCTTTTCACCAAAGCTGCGCCAGACGACAAAGAACTCATGTGCTTCTAATACCAACCACTCTGGTATATTCTTGGCAAAATCATTTACAAGTAGGGATTATGATTATTTATTTTATGTACCAATGTACGTACTCGGTCAATTTCTGATTTTCTCCATTTTCATAACCCCCCATTTGGGACAATATTTTCATAAAATCTTAAAAGACAGGTTATGTGCAGTGTAGGTTAATGACAAATGGTTCACGTTAAGTACAAATGCTACCATGGAGAACATGTTACTGTGGACAACAACATTTTTGCAATCTATTAGAGGCCACTAACATCACAGACATTCAACTGATTTTACATTCTAGCAGTTCACTGTGCAACCTTTGGTGGTTTGTGCTCTCTGATGTATACTACCAATCTTAATGAGAACATTTGCATGTGTACAGTATTTCATTCCTCCACAATACAATTTTCAGTGCAAAGCTGAAATTTGCATACTGGGCTGTAAATACAATATATCGCCTAAGCAAGTCAATTAACAGTATGTACTTATTTCCATGATCTTCAAATCAAGCACCTCTTCATTTTCCTTCTCACACTTTTCGTACTCCTTCAGGTGTAGTATAGGTTTTAGGTCAGGTTGGAGCCTGTTCTCAGTATGGAGACAGAGAGGTGAGGATTGAAGCATGTCTCCTTCTGGCAATCTCCAAAATATGTGTAAGCTATGATTTACAGTGACAAGCGTTTGTGGATGGCTAGCTGCAGGGCAAATAAAGAAAATGTCATCAATTCAGCCTTTTTGAAGATATTTTTACAGCTTTGGTATTTCTGTAAAAAAACTGCACTTTTTTTAGAACTGTTGTCTTAAATGAAGGAAAGTCCGAATTCTGACTTTAAAATTAATGAAGAATTGAAGCTTCTGAAAGAAAAGCACCACTTTTCTCTTTTCCCACCTGTTACATATCCTACATGATTTCACCCAGTCGTTCTGTTTCTCCTTGGATTTATTACCTTTGATTTGGGTCAAACTGTACTCTAAACAACAATGACAAAAGAGAGCCATTACAACAGGGTGCCTTCTGCTTAAGGAATTAAGTATTTTAGGAATGAGCTTGACCATGTTCTAAGTTGCTCCATATTAGCTCTCCAGGGGTGTCCACACCTCCTGTTACAGTATGTCGGAACATATGGAGTCGTTTACAGTAGATACAATGTTCATGAAAACATCAATATCTTCTTGGTTGCATTACTCCTAACAAAAGAGTTTAATACATTTCAAACGATCAATATGTTGTAACTTTATATACTGATAAGGAGACATTATGTATTAATAAATCAATTGTATACTGTATGTAACTTGAGAACAAGTGGTTTATCTGCAGGGATGATCTAACCAAAAGCCTCATTCCAGAAGTTATAATCCAGGAGAGAAAAGTATAAACTGAAAAGAATACAAGCTTCACCAAAAGTATGTTTAATTAATATATCTTAGTACGCAGAAATAAGTCAGTCTAATTTCAACTGCCTATATTGACTATACTTGTCTATGTTGTGGACAAGTATTACGAGTTGGAATTCTCGGCTGACCCTCTGCAATTTAACATTTCTGAGGTTTACTTCACCAAATCTGAGGAAGAAAGGAGAAAGGCAGTTCAGTAAAGCATATAGGCTGCTATGGTCACTGAGGAAAGCAGTACCTTCAGCAAAGATGAAGGAAATGCAGCTTCTGGAGTTAAAGACAGTGCGTAAACATGATAACAAGCCAGGATCAGACCCCACTTGCTTAATAATATCAATGTCAATGATCATTAATCACTGTGTGGGTACTTGATATTGTGGAAAGAAACAACAAACAATCAAGGATAGAAATCAATTCAGCACATTTTATACTTATCCACACTTGGTACTTTTTTTCACTTCACTCTTTTTTATCAAAGTGTTACAGTGACAAAATCTACTAGTCCCCTAGTTCCACCATTTCTGCCAGACATATTTGGAGACCACCCAAACATGTTGGAGGGGACATTTTTTTCCCTGTGGAAATAGCGAACCCTTCCTCTTTTCTCAGCACAATACTGTGGCCATCTCTTACAAACTGTATTTTCTTATACGCTCCCACAACCAGCAATTTAAATCTGAAGGGGAACTAAGACCCTATCCCTACCAGCATCTCTCCCCAACCCCAGGCTACCAACTACAGTAAATGATCCATTAAATTTTATAGACCGGAGAGCTTAAGCATGAACATTCTCAGAAAAAATTCAAAACTCAAGGTGAATCTATCATCTTTAGAGAGCTTGACAGGTCTAGGCTGTTTTATCTGTATGAGAATACATTTTTTGAAGTAGCCTGGAGCGCAAGTGCCTTGCCTGTGTCTGGTCAGGTATGGGAGACAAGAATAAGTGGAGATCTGCAAAAGAACACAGAAACATTCTATATAAGTCAGTAACATTGCATTTGGTTTATTTTATTTACAAACGTTTGCATGAAACATGTGCTGACCATCTTTATTTTAAATATTTACAGTATGTTCTTTGTTTCTTTCCCCCTCCTCCATGCCCAATAGTCAACTGTTATTACATTGCTAACTTCTAAAGACATCTGTAGAGTGCTCTGTGGCAAAGTGTTGGGAAGGAAGCTATAGAAAATAAAATAAGGAATTGTTGTAGATATTTATAACTATTTCTTATTGGGAAAACACTTTCCCCCAAAGTTTTTTTTTTAAGTTTACAACAACATTTTAATATATGTAATCTGTTCTGCAAAAGTCTTAAACATTTTTCATTGTCTTACTATATTCAGTACATATTTATTATACTTGATATAAAAACACAATTCTATGAAGA